GAAAAAAACAAAGTTTAAACGGTAAAGAAATTGTGTGATTAAATGATTAGATGAAACGACAGCCTTACTGGATATTCTGAAAGATTGTTGACAGACCGGGTACATAGGGAACCCTACCGTGAATGTTGTCTCATATCGGATAGAGTATGGAGACTTGATAATTTGGTTCTCATATTGGATGGGTATGGGGACGGTCCACTTCACCCTCATACCGGACGTGGTATTGAGGTTTGGTAAATTGACGTTCCTACCGGATGAGGTATGTGGACGGCCCATAATTGAAAATAATAAATGAAATGGTTCACGGGTAGCGGAGGCATCCCTATGAACCCCTATGGATACCAACAAGCTGGTGAAAAAGTGGTAGTTATTGTTTGGTTTATTGATAATGGATATAAATTTATAATATGTACCATAATAGTTGATTATGCATGAAATATTGGTCTGTATGATATTATTGTTCTTACAGGTTGTTTCCATAAACTCCACTATGATAAGTGAACAAGGAATGATTTTATGATTGATAAATAAATTTGCTAAATTTAATGCTTCATTAGTGATTTTTGATTTTATACCAACCTTTACTTCTATATCGGTGATATTCTTACTGGGCTAGTGTAGCTCATCCTTTGTTTAACCATTTCAGATCAAGAGGACCAAGTTCCAGAGCCTGATCTGCAAGAAGATTGCGAGTAGATGCTAGATATTTTCTATTTTCTGTTTGTTTCCTTATTTCTTGTGTTTCTTTCAAAGAATGAATTCTGTAATGCTGTTTAGTACTTTTAAGTTATTGTAAGGAATGTAAATCTTAAGCTTTTATTTCACTTCCACACTTAAATTATTATCTATTTCTTTTTAGATATTTCAGGGACCGTTACATACTATTCTTGAGATTTGGAGAAATTCCAAGTTGATGACATCAAAGATGAAAAGAGAGAGAAAAAAGGAGATAGATGCATAAGGATTCAATGAATAATTCTATCTCAATGATACAATACAAAGCAAAATAATGATAAATTTGAAAAAGAAAGAAAAAAATCAGAATAACGCATTGCAAAAAGTTAAACAAACCATATAATGGTTGAGGTAGCAAGCTACAAAATGCCATTTAATATCCACCAAACAGCCAAAAGAGAAGAAATTGTTAAAACATATCAACAACCAAGAAAGGGGTTCTTTTTAGAAACCAAATCTTCTAGCAAATTGAGGATCATTAAATAGTCTTTCACCTGGCTTTTTTGCATGTTCTTGCTTTCCTAGGAACAAAAAGTGGGCTATTGAGCATTCATTCTAGCAGTCCAAAACATAATCAACTACTAACCAAAAGCCCTAAAGGTATATTAAGTTTTGTGCAGGCAGATTTTCCAGTAACACATAATACATACAATTATATTTGTCCTCCCCAACCGTTGGATCTCACAAGACTTGATCTGAGCTGTTCATCTTCAATAAAACTTCAGCTGTTGAATCGCTCAGACGGTTCGATCAGGATTGTCTGTTTTTCCTGATTTTTTTTGTCCTCTTCTACTTCCACTTATTTATATTTTATCCCCCATTTTTTCTCATTTGTTTTCATTTAAGTCATTCAATTTTTTTAAAAAAAATCCTTAAAATTCTTAAAACTCTTTCATTTAAATCTAATTTTTAATTTTTATTCATTTTCTTATTTATTTAGGAGTAGATGTTACACGACATTTATTTACATGAAGTCAAAACAGAAGATAACATGCAACGTCAAATCTAATACGTGAAACGAGACTTAACAACGTGAGGGTTGAAGTAAGGGAAAAATTAAATTGAAAATTTGTAAAAAGTAAATGGACAAATTTGAACAAAAAATTAACACTACATATATCAAATTATTATTTTTCCTTTAAGTTTCAACTTGAAAATATAAAATATAACTTCACTAATTTTTAACTATTTAAAGTTAAAAATTTGTTGTAAAATAAATTTATACTTTAAAAAATATGGCAGCATTATTCTTAATTTTGATATACCTTAAGTTTAAATCAAATTTCAAATTATGTAATTTTCTTAGCACATATATTTTATTTTTAGTTAATAAATCAATCTAAATGTACTATACACTAACTATATATATATATTTTTTGGCAAATACATATAATTAATAATGTATTTTGGTTAATTATAAAGTTGATATTTCAACTATTTTATATGAAAATATGAGAGTAAGTCAGAACAATACTCTTTTATTAAAAATTTAATTACGTTATTATTGATACACAATTATTACGTAATTATTTAAATATATAAAATTTTTTTAAAAAATATATTTTTATTTAAATATATAATCAAAATTAAAATTTATGAAAAATACATATAAATTTAGTTAATTTCAATAAAATAGTCCATGCGATGCCCGCCGTCCATTTCTTTTATGAATCAGCCGTATGCTGTGCTGATCAAATTCAACCTGCGATATCTCTTTTTCTCTTCAACCATGGCGCCAAAAGTTTTAGCGGCAATCTGGTCTTAAAAAAAAAATCAAAATTTGAACAGCAAAATCCAACTCAAATCAATCCAAATTCTCATCCCTTCCCCCCGAGATCTAATTGTTGAAATAGACCGAAGAATTCCTCACTTATCTTTCTGGTTTGAATTCTTACAAAACTGGCAGCTACTTTAATACAAATCTTCCCTTCTAGTTTTCCTCCAAACAATTACTATCTCTTTCACGAGTTCCCAATTCTGTTTGCGAATCCTAATTTGGGTTTACAACCTTCTATCTGATGATTTGATGAGTGTGTTAATTCCTGAATCGGAATTCGGCGAGTCTCCCTTCGCCTGCTGAAGAGACAACGCAGAAAAGCTCTAGGGGCCGACAGGCATGGAATGAATGGTTCCATTTGCAATCATATTGGGTAAAGCAACATGTATGAAAGTTTGGTGAAGATGAGAAGCACGCCAATCGCACAAAAAGAATAATCTGATTCGTTGGGATAATTGAATGGTCTAGGAGGAGAGGAGGAATTGGGGGCGAGAATTTCACGATAAAGACCGATAGTGAAGCTTTCAAGGGAGCAACTCAGACTGAAGGGCGAAAACGCATATCGTTGGTCTAGGTTTTTTCAGGGAGAGTGGAGGAAATGGCAAGAGGGCAGTTGAAATTGGAGAGGGTTGATTCAATCTAGAAGAAGACAGACCTAGTGACTGAAAATCGAGTGAAGGGCGGGCTGATAAGTGAGGGAGAGAAAGGTGGAAAGAGAGAGACGAGAGGCTTTTGGAACTTGAATCAACGAGGCGAATCTAAAGAAAAATAAAAAGGAGGACTTTAGGGGAAAGTCTTAACGGTTAGGAGTTAGGGATTCGCCGCACAGGTAATTTTCTTATATGACCTTTGAATTGGAAATATGTTAACATCATTATAATTTTTTGCCTCGTTATATAACAAGTCTGCTCAGATTTATGATTTAATGAATTAGGGATCTGTTAAAGGGATGGAAGGAATTACAGAATTGGGTAATTAATTTCTGGAAAATGCAGGATACTGATTGTTTTCATGTTTAAATTAAAATACCTGATGATTCCCGGGGTAACTGTCTAGTATCCGCACAACTAGCATGATCTTACATCTCATCAGAAAGCATGAATGATTGAACCGGTATATCCGTTAGAAGTCTCTTTTGTTTCATGCTTATTGTGTTATTTCCATCATTAGATGTTTTTCTTGGATTTTAGCAGCAGGCTTCTCTGTTTTGTGTGTCTGCATTAATGAATGAAGTTTGGGGCTATTTGGCGTAACTGTATGATTCCATTTGATGATATGAAGTTTCCTTTTTCTTTCTTTACCAAAACCGATAACTGCATAATGATTAAATCATTATTTGACTTAAGAATTAACCCAGTCTTTTCTCATGGATTATTTTGGTTCCTTGGATCTATTGGATAAATGCTGAAAAGCTGAGTAATCGCTGGAAAGGTAAGTTTAGTCTTGCATCTGGTCAGTCGTGTGATGCAGGCTCTTTGATGATGTTTGGTAACGTGAGTTTTGTGAATGGAAGTTCTTGTTAATGCGTATGTTATTTCTTTTTGAGGTCTTCCTCCCATTTTAGCTTGAGTAATATAATGTTAGTGTACTGG